TAGGATGGTCTTGATCTTCTGACCTCGTGATCCACTTGCCTCAGCCTCCCAAAGTGCTGGGATTATAGGCATGAGCCACCACGCCTGGCCTGTAGTAATCTTTTTTTTGGTGGATGATTTCAACTTGCTGCTATTGGCTGCTGACTGATCAGGGTGGTGGTGGCTAAAGGTTAGAGTGGCTGTGGTAATTTCCAAAATAAGACAATAATGATGTTTGCCACATTAATGGACTCTTCATGAAAGATTTCTCTGTAGCATGTGATGCTAATTGACAGCATTTTAACTACAGTAGAACTTCTTTCATAATTGGAGAAAATTCCCTCAAACCTCAGGGCAGTTTCATCAATGAAGTTTATGTACTAATCAAAAATTTTTATTGACGTTTCAACAACGTTCTCAGCATCTTCACCAGGAGTAGCTTCCATCTCAAGAAACCACTTTTTTAGATCATTCATGAGAAGCAGCTTGTAACCCATTAAAATTTGATTATGAAATTCAGTAATATCTTCAGGTTCCACTTCTAATTCTATTTGTTTTACCATGTTTACCAAATCTGCAGTTACTTCCTCCACAACAATCTTGAACCTCTCTCAAAGTCAACCATGAAGGTTAGAATCAGCTTCTTCCAATCTCCTGTTAATGTTCATCTTTTGACCTCTTCTCACAAATCATGAATATTCTTAATGGCATCCAGAATGGTGAATCTTCTTCAGAAGGTTTTCAATTTACTTTGCCCAGATCCATCAAATCCGTCATGATCTACAGCAGCTATAGCCGTAGAATATTTATTTCTTAGGTAATAAGACTTGAAAGTAAAATTACTTCTTGATCCATAGGCTGCAAAATGAATGTTGTGTTTGTGGGATAGAAACAACATTAATCTCTTTGACCATCTCCATCAGAAGTCTTAGGTGACTAGATACATTGTCAGTTGGCAGTAATATTTTGAAAGCAGTCTTTTTATTTTTTCCCCTGAGTAGTAGGTCTCACTAGTGGGCTTAAAAGATTCAGTAAATCAAGCTGTAAACAAATATGCTGTCATGTGGATTTTCATTGTTATATTTTAGAGCACAGGTGGAGTGAATTTTGCAGGATTTTTAAAGGTTCTTAGATTTTCAGCATGGTAAATGAGCACTGGCTTTAAAGTTACCAGCTGAAGTACCCCAAGAGTTAACCTGTCCTTTAAGACTATGAAGCCAGACATTAACTTCTCTTTTGCTATGTAAATCTTATATTGCATCTTCTTCCAGTATAAAGCTGCTTCATCTATATTAAAAATCTGCTGTTTAGTGAATCTGCCTTAATCAATTATCTTAGCTAGGTCTTCTGGATAACTTGCTGTAGTTTCTACATTAGCACTTGCTGCTTAACCTTGTACTCTTACGTTAGCAGAGATAGCTTTTTGTTTTTCCCCCTAAAGCTTCATGAACCAGCTTCCACCAGCTTTACATTTTCTTCTGCAGCTTCCTCACCTTTCTCAGCCTTCAGAGAATTGAAGAGAGTTAGGGTAATTTTCTGTCTTTAGCTTGGGCTGATTTAATCTAGCCAGACCACTAAAACTTTCTCTATATCAGCAATAAGGCTGTTTCAAGTTATCACTCTTGTGTTCACTGGAGTAGCACTTTAATTTCCTTCAAGAACTTTTCCTTTGCATTGAACACTTGGCTTGCGTTTGTCACACAGGTCGAGCTTTAGATCTATCTTGGCTTTCAACATGCCTTTCTGACTAATCTTAATTATTTCTAATTTTCTATTTAGAGGTAGGGACATGCAACTCCTTCTGCCCCTTGAACATGTAGAGGCCATTGCAGGGTTATTGATTGTCCTCATTTCCATATTGCTGTGTCTCTAGGAATAGGATTGGGTGGCCAGTGAAGAAGCAGAGAGGGAAGTAGAGAGGTGGGGAAATGGTCATTCCATGAAGCAGTCAGTACAGGTAAAATAGTTATCAGCTAAGCTTGGCGTTCTCTATGGGCATGGATGTGGCACCCCAGAAATATTGCAATAGTAATGTCAAAGAGCACTAATTACAAATCGCCATAGCAGATATAATAATAATGAAAAAGTTGTAAATATTGCTGATTACCAAAATGTGTAACAGCAACACAAAGTAAACACATGTTGTGAGAAACATGGTACTGAGAGACTTCCTGGAAGCAGGGTTGCCACAAACCTTCAATTTGTAAAGAATAAAAAGTATGTGAAGTGCAATAAAGCGAAGTGAAATGAAGGGAGGGATTCCTATACATATTGCTATGTACATTTAAAACAAACTATCAATATTGTTGCCTCTCCTATCACTTTTTATTTTGAGACAGTCTTGCTCTGTTGCCCCAACAGGAGTACAGCGGCGTGGTCTTGGCTCACTGCAACCTCTGCCTGCCGGGTTCACATGATTCTCCTGCTTCTGCCTCCTGAGTAGCTGGGATTACCGGCACACTCCAGCCCCACCCAGCTAATTTTGTACTTTTAGTAGAGATGAGGCTTCACCATGTTGGACAGGCTGGTCTGGAACTCCTGATTGCAAGGGATCCACCTGCCTTGGCCTCCCAAATTGCTGGAATTACAGACGTGAGCCACTGCACCCAGTCTTATTAATTTCTAAGGAATTTGAAGATATTTTTTTGGATATAATTCATTGAAAGAGTCTTTCTTTAGAATGAAATGTGAATCATACATTGCACAGGTTCTTCAATTCTCATCTTTGGAAAACTTGCTGTGTTTGCTGTGTTTGTGTTAGGTCAGTCTGTGTCATCATCTGAATGTTTGTGCTTACCCCTGATTTGTATGTTGAAACCTAATTCCCAATATGATGGTGTTAAGAGTTTGGGCCTTTAAAGGTATCTAGGTTAGGAGGGCAGAGCTCTCATGATAAGAACTATCAATCTATTTAAACATAGATATTCTTACAGATACATGTATATGTATACATATATATATAGACACACACAATATTTTTCTCTTTTCATTTTTACAAAAGTTAGTGAGGTTGGTTTTATTACTTGCATTTTACAGTAAGAGTAATTGTACTAAACATCATTTGTTTTGCTGATTACTTTAACACTAACCTTGGTCAGAGGGGGATTCACTTCTGTCCCTGAAGTGAAGGTGTCCTGGACATTGGATTCAGCAGTGAGTAGTGCTGTGGCTCCTCATCCATGGAAGAATGAAAGAGATTTAGTTGTTTTCTTTGGAAGTTTTGAGTTCAGCTCTTAATTGCCTGTTTCAAGCAGCTTGAAACTCTGGCAAATGCCTGGACAGGAACTGGCCATGTGCTTGTGGCAGAATCTCTCCCTCCATGGGGCCTTTACTTGCCAAGCACTATGAGACTGCAGAAAACTTCACTATTTTTTAGCTTCCAACCAAACTCTTCACCCGCAGCCTAAAATAAGGCCTGTGCTTTAGGCCAAGGAAAATACGATTATGAGTTTGGACTCATAGTTTCCATTTTCAAACGACAGCTCTGAGTGATTAGCACAAGCTCTGCTGGTTTCTCTTCCTTTCAAGAGGAGTCTGTTTGCCTGGATGCACCAGATCCCTTCACACCCAGATTCTGCAGTACTCCTAGGACAAAATGCCTGGTGCTTGCCAGCTCACCTACAAAGAACTCTTCCTTCTCTGGAATTCTTGTTCGTCTCATCTCTGTTGTTTCATGGACTCTTACATGTCTTTACACATCTGATTTTTAAAAATTTATAGTTTTATAGTTTTTAAGGTTGCTGAACCAGAGTGTTGCTCAACATTGAAAGGAAATATTTTGATCTGTGATTATTTTCTCTATTTTCTCATAAGCTCCATGATATATTAATTACCCAACATCTGGAAGGCCATAAAATTCCTTTCTTCTGCATACGTATTTTTCTCTATTTATGGATGAAAGCATCCCATTTTTAAATTCTGTCCTTCCTTCATTCTCCCAATCCTATAATCTTTTTTTCATTTTCTCCTTTTTCTGGTCTTTACTACATCTATATCACATCAACTGCTCTCCAGACTATACTCTAAAGAGAAAAATTACGTTGTACTCTGTCACCTTTAAATTGGATTAATGTTCCTAAATCTAGGTCCTCAAAACACTTTGGAAAATCAAAAGCAACATTTTATTATGTGGGTTTGTGAGGCTTCGAGTGCATTATCCCATTGCTTTTCATTTCATTTTAATTGCCAGTTCTCGTTTCTTCGTACCTTTTTTTCTGTCTACCAATGATAAAATTTCAGTTTTCCTCAGATGTCTATCCTACCTCTGTACCTGCTATTTCCAGAGAACACTGCTTTCAAATATACTCTCAAGTTATTGTATGCACATGTAACCACTTACATTCTTCTTGTTTCTCACCTTTCAGTAAAATAATATCCTGTTTCTATCTAAGACTACTCTTTTCCTTTATTTCATGGATCAAAATTTCGCCTTCTCCCTCAGAGACCTACCTACATCTATTTTATTGCTTCCACCAAGAGCAATTTTCATTTCTGGATCTTTATTTTCAGTTTATAAGCATTCACAAACTCCTTATAGTGACCTCACATATGTGTGTGTATAGGTACTCTTTAATTTTTTTTTCTAAGCGAATAATGGGGAAAGTAAGCTATATGTTTGATCTATAAATAATTAATATCACAAAAACAAGAAGAAGAAATATATTTTGTAAATATAACAAGTAAAAACTATATTTTGTAAATAAAAGACAATAAAAGTAATTAAATAAATGTTAATTAATTTATTTCTACATTATGGCTCCTGTTAAATCATAATGTATTAGTATCTCTTGGCCCTGATACCTTGTCAGAAGTATTTCTTTTCAGAGGAGTATATGTAACAGGATTTCATGAATGAGAATGTATTTCAGGAAAGATATAATACAAACTGTTAGCAGTATTTAAGTCTGAGAATAGAATTCATAATTTCTAATTTGTATTTTATATATATCTAAGACAAATACTATTTTTAAAAGATTTTTGTAAGTAATAAAAAATGTGAGCTTATTTATTATTATTATTACTTGGCTGTTTGCAGATTTAATGGCAGGGGATTGAGGTCTGGAGGGGTCCCAGCTGCTGCTTCTGCTTTTCTTGTAATAGGGAGGCCACCTATGAGTAGTATGGGGTGGACTTGGAGTGCAGAGTTGGTGGGACAGGGGACATCCAGGGGGCTCGAGATGTTGCTGATGACGAGGAATGTCAAGTGGCACTGAAGCTGGCTGGCAAGGCCACAGGCAGGGTCTCTCACGTGGGCGCTCACCCCTTTCCTCCCCGCATCCCTCCCTCCTGCCCAGGCCCCACTCTCCTGAGGGATGAGGGGGAGGGCACCCATTACTGGACAGAGGAATGGGCTCCCTCCTTCTTCCTTCTATGGGGCTGGAGTGAGGGAGGAGGCTGGCTCAGGCAGGGTTTATGGGGCCCAGGATGGTGACAGCATGAGTCTTGAGTGCTTGGCAGCTGAGGAATGTAGGGGTGTCGGGTAGTAGCAGCAATGAGGGGGCGGGCCAGGGTGACCCGAGCCAAAGGCCAGGATTGAATGCCGCTGAGGCCAATGGTCCCAGAGTCCTCCCTCCCGACTCCAGTGGGGGTTGGGTAGTCAGGAAGGAGGATGGCTTATGGCGGGGGTGGAGGGGGGCGCCCAGGGCTCAGAGCTTGTGGGGGTTCACCCACTTGAAGGTACCCTCATGCTTGAAACCCACTCTCTTCATCAGCTCGTCTGTCTCTGTGGAACTCGGCTGCCATAGACGTAGGGGATGGGCTGGGGCTTCTGCTGCTCCATCTGGTGCAGCAACGGGGTAAAGATCTGCCAGGCCTCCTGGAGCTCGTCGCTGGGCAGGAAGTACATCTGGCTCCTGCAGAAGATGTCCAGGAGGAGGCGCTCCTAGGTGCCAGGGAGCTTCCAGTTCTTCTATCTGTTGCGGTAGGTCAGGTCCAGCTCCTACTCCTCAGGGATGAAGAACATGCTCGGCTTCTTGGTCATCATCTTGATGTATATGGCCTCGTGGGGCTGCATGTGGATCACCAGCTCATTGCGCCTGCACTGCTGGTGGAAGATGTCACCAGCCACCTTGCGGAACTGCAGCCTCACCTCGGCCTTGCGCTCGTTAATGGCCTTGCGGCAGCGCAGGATGAACGGCACCCCATCCCACCTCTAGTTCTCCACGTAGAGGACGACGGCAAAGGTGGCGGTGGTGGACCCGTGAGGCACCAGGGGGGCATCTGGTATCCTTTGGTGGCCTTGCCCTCTCCCTCGGGGTTCCTCACGTACTGGCCCAGGACTACGTTGTTTGCCTGTACCCCTGAGATGCATTTCAACACCTTGACCTGCTCATCACGGACATCATCCGAGTTGGTGGAGGTGGGCTTCTCCATGGCCACCAGACACAGCATCTGCAGGAGGTGGCTCTGCATCATGTCCCAGGTGATCCCAAATTCATCGAAATAGCCTCCGTGACCCTCAGTGCCATAGGGCTCCTTGAAGGTGAGGATCACGCAGGTGATGTGGTCCCGGTTCCAGATGGAGTTGAAGATCCTGTTGGCAAATCTCAGCACCATGAGGCTTTGCACCATCTCCTTGCCCAGGTAGTGGTCGATGCGCTAGATCTGGTCCTCACGGAACAGGGAGGAGATATGGTTGGACAGCCGCTCGGAGCTCCGCAGCTCCCTCCCGAAGGGCTTCTCCACGATGATACGGTTCCAGCCTGTCTGGCTCATGCAGGACTTGTGGATGTTCTTGGTGACGGCCTCACAGACCGTGGAAGGCAAGGCCAGGTAGAAGAGCTGGTTGGCCTGTGATCCCCGGTGGAAGGCGTTCATGTGGCTGTTGAGGTGCTAGTCAGAGGCTGCATCATTTTACTGGCCGGCCACATAGGAGTTGCGGGTAAAGAAGTCCTCCGGCTTGAGCTCCTCCTCTGCATTGGCCTTGAAGAAGGGCTCACTTTGCTTGCAGATGTCAGCCACCATGAGGCGGGAGCAGGCGTAGCCCAAGAGGAAGGTATTTTCCGGCAGAAGGCCATCCCGGAACAGCCACCAGATGGAGGGGTAGATCTTCCTCCTGGCCAGCTCACCTGATGCACCCATCATGATGACTATGTGTGTATCCGACTGATGGAAGGCATTGTCCCCAGAGCAGCTCTTCCCAGAGGATCCCTCACACCTGGGTCCGGCTCAGGGCCACCTGCTCGGCCATGATGCTGTCTGCACTTCGTTGCTGCTGCCCTCCATGCTGGCAGCCTGGAAGTGCACGGCCGTTTAAAAAAATGTGAGTATCTTATGACATCAAGTTGTATACATGGAATATATGCCATAAAATTTACTTTAAAATAGATATACCTTTCAAAAGAAAAATAGAAGGAATCTTTATTCAAACCCATGTCCTTCTGAAATATAACGTGATTATCTTTTTATTCTTAAATTGCTTATTCAACATTTATAACTCAAATAAAAATCGATTTCCACATCTACCACTTCTAATCAAATTATTTCTACTCATGTTGAACATTGTCTTTCAGAATATCCCTGTACTAAATGACCCTCTTTCAAAAAAATTTTTGGTACATCATTCTATCCTTCTTATACCATTGTTCCTTCTATACACTATTGTTTGTTTTGCTGTAATCCTTTTCCCTTCCCTTTGCTTTTTAAAAATATCATCCAGTTGTCTCCGTTAACCCTCCCATGTGTAGGAATCCTCCCCTGCCACACCCAACACTATCTTCCTTTTCCCACAATATATGCTCTCAGAGAGGCCGTTGCTGGTTGCACACTATGCTTTCCTGGAAAAAGAAGGGCTCACAGTCCCTGAACTTGTGAGTCTCCTTACCCTGCTATTCTGTATGCCTCGGGTCATGGAAGCAATGACTCACAAATTCTGTATGGCTACCAAGGCCTCCTTGATACCAGATGGAACAAACCTGTACCTTCTAGTATATCCCCCCACTTTTTTTTCAAGTCTGTTCAATTCTGAGTGCCTCTGGAAATTCTCCTTTAAAATATTCAAACTGATAATCTTTTTTTTTTTTTTTTTTTTCCTTTTTGAGATGGAGTCCAGAGTCTCGCTCTTATGGCCCAGGCTCGAGTGCAGTGGTGCAATCTCGGTTCACTGCAACCTCCACCTCCTAGGTTCATGCTATTCTCCTGCCTCAGCCTTCTGAGTAGCTGGGATTACAGGGGCTGACCACCATGCCAGGCTAATTTTTGTACTTTTAGTAGACATGGGGTTTCTCCATGTTGGCCAGACTGGTCTCAAACTCCTGACCTCAGGTGATACACCCACCTCTGCCTCCCAAAGTGCTGGGATTAAGGCATAAGCCACTGCACCCAACCAGTATATACCTTTGATGGGAAAGTGGTTGGCCTCCGCTCAGTTTAGTATTTTATCAGATTCCATGGTGTTGAAAGGGTAAGTTTTTACCCTACCTCATGGCTACCTGGGGAGTCTCTTGAGATTACTTGAAGGAGTTCTTATGTTTTGTGGACAGTATTGAACCCAGGAATGTGACAAAACTCAGTGAAGAGTTGCTGCTTTTCATCCCTTCTGCTTTCATCCCTTAAATGAGACTTTTCTGACAGAAGACCAGACCCAAATGACACAACTGGCCAAACCTTAGGCAGCTATCAGTGCTAGATGGCCTGGCTAATCAGGCCCACCTGAACACTTTTACAGATTCTTGGGCCACTGCATGAAAGTTACCTCCATTAAGGTGATGAATTCTGGAAATCTTCTGCCTTATAGAAATCCAAAATATAAATCAATTTAACAAACAACACAACATAGGCTAAATATACTAAAGCCAAGATATAAGATCTTACCCAAACACGTTTATCTATTTCAGAATTCTAAATATTATTCATGTGACCAAGGCACTCATTTCACTTATCAAAATACATAATGCAGAGATCTTAATAAGACATTCATTGGGAACTTTCACCTTCCTTACCTGCCTCAGGATGCAGGCATTGTAGAGCACTTCACTTATCAAAATACACAATGCCGACATCTTAATAAGGCATTCAATGGGAACTTTCATATTCTTTATCCACCTCAGGATGAAGGCATCATAGAGCATCATAATGGCTGATTTAAGCATATCCAAATTCAACTAACTGCAATATGGCATGTTACAGTCAGCAGTCAAAAAGCAAGGTTGAATCATAATAAAGAATCTGTAACCATGTTTTCATAGTTGACTTTATCAGTTTTTGATTTTGTAATTCCTTCTTTCCCTTGTTCCCCACACATGTACAAGCTGATGAGAAAGCCTAGCTTCTCTGTCCTTTGCTGCTGATGAAAGAATCACATCATCTTAGCCCCTGCCCATGCAGAGGACCTCTTACTCTGAGTCATACCCCTCTTCATAACAAAAATCTTAAGCCATTCTTCTTTCTTTAGACATTTTGAGATACCTTCCTGTTCCTTTAGACATCAGTTATATATACAGAAAACCTTTTCCTATCCTCCTGGTGTGAGCATGTAGCAACATCAGTCTCAACATCTGAACTGAATTTTTGATGTAGGAGTATCCATCCTGCCTTTCCCGCAGGGCAGAACAGAGTATTAACAGAATGCTATGTATATTAGATAAGTTAAAATATGTGAAGCACTTAGGACAATGTCTGGCCTATAGCCAACGTTCACCCTACCATGTAAGTTATTTTATTAGTAAATGCCATGCAACACTCCTCTCCCTCCCAGTGTTTTGACATCTTAAACACTATATTAAGGTAAATGTGGTTTCCGGCAAGAAGCATAAGCAGTTACAAAATGATTTCTTAACTTTGGAAGCAGTCAATCACTCTTGGGAGAATAGTAAGATATATGATTGAAACTACAGTAGCAGTAATAAAACAGTCACGTATCTTTCACATAGTATCCTAACCCCACTTGAAAAGCATTAATGTAAATTATGTACATATGCAGCTTTGTGGCCCATTATGTACAGCTTAGCCGACTAATTCCAGTTTTCCAGCTTTGCCATTCCAAATTTCTGACATAAGTCCTGACCATCCGATATATTATAGGAAATGGAACAGCTATTGACCTCAGAGCAATTATTCTTTTAGCCATAAAGCAAATAATGTAGAGAATTTCTGGTTTTACTTACTGTGAGAATGTCCCTGCTCTCACATTCTTTAGTGCCCGTGCTAAATAAAGCTGTAATAACAGAGAAGCTCACTTTGCCACAGTGCTGACATATCCAGCTGAATTACCTATAAACTGACTCAATATGCTTTTTCTTTCTTTCTTTTTTCTGAAATGATCAGGTGAAGCAAAAAATTTAGATTGGTTTGCTCAAGATTCCTTCTAACTCTCTTCCAGTATGCAGGATTCTGGCCATGATATATATTCTGCTAAGCAGTTTCACTGGGACATGACTTGAATTTGTAATTGGGTCATGGAGACAGTGAGGAAGGCAAAATGCATCAAGTTTGCTGATATGAATCAGGTCACGGTGGATGTGACTCTGGGACCAGAAGCAGTGATGACATCTTCTTATCTCAATAGGTAGCTTTTATATACTACAACTTTTTACACAAAGTAGGCTCTTCTGTTTGATAGCTTCATTCTGTAGTGTGGCAATGGGGCAATGGAAGAATTTCCTGAATATTTAATTTAGTATGTATCATTGCCCCCCCAGATCTCCTAATATTAGATTAATAACTTATTTTATAGTAACAATTATCTCTCCTTAAAATTAGCTAAAGTGAATTGTCTTTTCAGTAGTGATAGATCTGTCTGTCAGAGTAATTGTACAGTGCTGTTGCAAGCTACAGATACATAAAAAATGAAAACCTGGGATTTTGTTTCAGAGATGAATGATTTTGAAAACAGAAAGAATTTTGTTAACACTGGTATATGGCTACTGGTAGTCATTACCATGTATTGATGTGTTAGGCACATAGGTACTTACATTATCACTGTGGTTACCTTAAATAAAGAGTATAAAAAAGGCAATATTTAGCAAAGTGTGCGGTCTCTGCAATAAGCTATTTCTTTAATAAAATAAAAAATATGGGGTTCTGTGGAGTGAATTGGTGATTTGTAACACACTCCATTTAAGGGAAGAAAATCACAAACTAATCATTTAAATTTTCAGGTTAAAAATTTTCACTTGTTCAGGAAGTTTCTGTAATTTATTTCAATCATTTAATCATCCATAAGTCTCATGCTGCAAAAATATCAGATACAGAATCTGCCTTTTCAATTCGCTGTTTAAAGCCTAAATTAATTTTGCAGCTTCACAATAAATGCTGAGTGACCATCAAGGTATTAATTGGAACAAGACTGAACATGGAAAATTGGAATAGGGTTTTCAGTGAAAATTGGGAACACTATGAATAAAGCAAATTAAAAAATCCTTCTAAACCTTTTGTTGACAACAGAAACTGATCTGTTTCCTTTTTCTAATATACGTGTTATCATTTTATTTTAAACAACACATATTTTTATCTAAATCCTTACTGTAGGAATTCTACACTCTCTGCCATGGTTACATTGAGACAAATGTCCTGAACTACGATGAGAGTTAGATAAGAGTATGTCCCAGGGGAACAGAACAAGGTCGGCACCAAAGTAGAAGACAGAGGCTCAGGCTAAGGGGGAAATAAGTCAAACTTAGATAAAACTATTTTTATATGGAAGTACTTAAAATTAATCTTTAAACATGTGGATTCAAGAGTGGGAATGTTTCAAATTGTTTGCTAAAGTGAATAATTAGAGTGTGTATTTCATACCTATGCTAAATGAAGTTGAGATGTCAGATATTATTTGTTGAAAATTAGGAGGAATCTAAGACTTAAGAAGATAGAAGTGGTGAAGGACTTTTACATTCACTACTTCAACAACTTACCTCAAATCAACAACTTACCTCAAAATATCTGTGAGGGTGTCAGATGACATCCCCTTGCACTATGTAATGACAAATGCATTGTTGTGAAGAAAAGTAGTGTCTATGAAGAGTTGTCTAGCAATTTCTTCTTTAAGTCACAGATGAAAGTGGAGAATTACGCCATTAAAATAGTTCTAAAAATGTCAGAAAGAATAATGGAAACACATTGTGACAGAGGCCAAATGACAACACTTAATTATGAGTGGCAAAGTAGCCTATACGGTTAGACTTTGTTTCCCCACACAAATCTCAGCCTGAATTATAATGCCATAATCCCCATAATCCCCATTTGTTAAGGGAGAAACAAGGTGGAGGTAATTGAATCATGGCAGCAGTTTCCCCCATGTTGTTTTCATAATACTGAGTGAGTTCTCAAGAGATCTGATGGTCTTATAAGGGGCTCTTCCTTTTTCATCTGGCACTTCTTCCTGCCACCTTGTGAAGAAGGCACCTTGTTTCCCCTTCATCTTCTGCCATGATTGTCAGTTTCCTGAGGCCTCCTCAGCAATGCTGAACTGTGAGTCAATTAAACTTCTTTCCCTTATATATTACCCAGTCTCAGGCAGTTTTTTATAGCAGTATGAAAACAAAATAATACAGTAAATTGGTACAAAGAGTAAGATTCTTTCATAAAGATACCTAGAAAGGTCAAAATGACTTTGGAACTGGAACAGGCAGAGGGTGGGAACAGTCTGGAGGCTTAGAAGAAGACAGTGAAAAAGTTTGGAACTTCCTGGAGACCTGTTTAATGGCTTTGACCAAAATGCTAATAGTGAAATGGACAATGAATCCAGACTGAGGTGGTCTCAAATGAAGATGATGAACTTGTTGGGAACTTGAGCAAAGGTTACTCTTGCTACACTTTAGCAAACAGACTGTGGCATTTTACCCCTGCCCTGGAGATATGTGAAATTTTGAACTTGAGAGAGATAATTTAGGGTGTCTGGTGGAAGAAATTTCGAAGTAGTAAAGCATCCAAGATGTAACTTGGGGGCTCTTAAAAGCATTCAGTTTTATGCATTCACAAAGAGATGGTTTGGAATTGGAACTTATGCTCAAAAAGGAAGCAGAGCATAAACGTTTGGAAAATTTTCAGTCTGCAATGAAATAGAAAAGAAAAACCCATTTTCTGAGGAGAAATTCAAGGAGGTTACAGATATTTGCGTAAGTAACAAGGAGCCAAAACCTCTTTCCTTTTAAATTATCCAGTCTCATGTAGTTTCTTATAGCAGAAAAAACAAACAAACAAAAAAAATAAATAAATAAATAAACTAAAACAGTGGTCCTGGACCACTTAACAGAAAGAAGAACTAGAGTGGTAATCATAATCTTTTAATTAGATGGCTTCTCTTTGGTAACAAACTAATAATAGAGACCCTGGAAATGAAATATACAGTATGTTTTATTGGCACCATAGAAAATAACATAAAGTGGTATAAAAAAGTCCTCGCTTGAATCTACAGGGAAATATTAACACTTAAGATAATTAATTCTATAGATGCTTATAATATCTTCTTTGTAAACCCAAAATAAAATAATGAAAAATACATTAAAAATAATAGCCTGGAAGAAAAATAAAGAACAAGAGATATGATAATAGCAACACAATTTGAAAGCTGGTTAGTAGATAATTAAGAGAGTATTATAATAGTAGTGGATAAAGCTGCAAGCCCAATTTACAATGAAGAATCCCCAGAAGACTCCAGAAACAACACAGACAGTTATGTCTGCCACTGGTCTGAGGGAACTGTGTTAAGTAAGGAGACTTCAGTGATTTTTTATTAAAAAGCACTTAGATTCATGTGTTCCCTTTTCAGTTTATGATACTGGATGATTATATCCCACTACAGCATTTTGGAAAGTTACTTTCTAAGTTATGATTCATCAAATAAAAGGGAACTTCCATGAGATTATCAGAAACCTATCAGCAAAAAAGCATTATAGGCCAGAAGGGAGTGGAATATTCAAAAAGCTGTTAGAAAAAATATAAACCTGTCAAAACAGAGTATTGTACCTGACAAAACTCTCCTATAAAAAAAAAGAAATAAAAAATTAGACTTTTCTACATAATCAAGCCAAAAGTGTTTGTTACCATGTTACCTTTTCTAGAAGAAATGTTAAAGAGAGTCTTTCAAGTTGCAATGAAAGTCCAGTCCAGTGGACAGTGAAACAAAGTCATATGAAATATAAGATTCTCTGGGAAAAGTAAACAAATGAAGAAATACATTCATCTGTACTATAATAATTTTGGTTTATATAATATAAATAGCAAAGCATTTAAAATGAGAAATTTATGAAAATGGGTATATAATATATAAAGATGTAATTTTGACATGAATAACATAGCATGTGGGTGTCCAGCTATAAGAAAGAAGAGTTTTCATATGTGATTGAAGTTAATTTGTTCTCAGTTTAAAATACATTGGTATAACTTTAAGATACTGTATGTAATTGCTATTGTAACCACAAAGACAATATCTTTGACTATTCATAAGATGACATGAAAATGATATCAAAGTACAGCACTACAATTAAATCAGTGAAATCGTAAAAGATGCCAGTATGAGAGAAAAGGAGGTACAAAAGCTTATAAGATCTACAGAAAACAATTAGCAAAGTGGCAAGAGTAAGTCTTTCTTTAACAGTAATTAATTTAAATTTAATTGGATTAGACTCCCCAAACAAAAATTGTGGATCGTCTGAATGGATTTTATAAAATGAAAACAAAAAACGTATTCAAATGTAAGTTGTCTACAACAGACTCATTTTAGACCTAAGGACACACATAGGTTGCAAGCAAAAAGATGGGAAAAATCAATCTATTTATATGATAACCAAAAAATACCAGGAACAGCTATATCAGACAAAAATACACTTAAACATTTTTATAACAGACAAAATGATATATAATGATAAAAGGGTCAATTCGCCAGTAAGATGTAACAATTATGAATATTTATATACTAAACCTAAATATATCAAACTATTTTGACAAAACTGAAGTTGGAGAGCAACAGCAACATACTAATAGTAGGAGATTTTAATATCACAATTTCATAGCAGATAAATACAACAGACAGAAGATATTGAAAAAATAGGGGAATTGAACAATACTACAGTCAAATTGGACATAACACAGATACATAAAACACTCCTGCAAACACCACCAAAACAGATATTCTTCTCAAGTTACTGTAGAACAACCTTTAGGAGAGATCACATGTTAGGCCACAACGCAAGCCCTTCACAAATTCAAAAGAAACTGAAATCATATAAAATGCCTTTGAAAATAATTATAAAATAAAACTAAAAATCATTATCATAAATAAAATTGAAAAATACACAAATATGTAGAAATTAAACAACATACTCATCAATGACCAAAAAGTCAAAAAAAAAGACACAAGGAAAGCTGTAAAATATTTCAGTTGTTATTTCTTCTTTATGAATTAGCCAAATGAGAATGAAAATGCAACATACCAAATTATAGAATGAAGTAAAAACAGTACTAAGAAGAAAGTTTATGATTGTAAATATATACAGAAAGGGAAAGAGCTAATATCAATAACCTAAATTTATTTCTTAAGAAACTAGAAAAAGAGGAATAAACTAAACCCAAAACTTCAAAAAGCAGAAGAAAGGGAACAATAAAGATAAGAGACTGACAAAATTGAGAGAAGAAAAACCAAAATTCTGTGAAGCTAAGTTTATCAAATAAAAGAAACTCAGAAATGAAAGAGGAGACAATAGGGCAGATGCCACCAAAATATAAAGGATAATTGGAGAATGTTACAAACAATTGTATGCCAATAAATTGAAGAGCCTAAAAGAAATGAGTATATTCCTAGAAAGTCAACCTACCATGACTGAATTAAGAAGAAATAAAAAATCTGGACAGACCAATAATGTGTAAGGAGATTAAATCAGTGACCAAATTTTCTCAAATATTTAAGGAAGAATTAACACCAATTCTCTTCAAACTCTTCAAAATAGTTTAAATAGAAACACTATCAAGTTCATTATGTAAGGTCAGAATTATCTTGATACCAAAGCCCAAGACTCTACAAGCAAAGAAACCTAGAGACCAATATCCCTTAGAAATATGGATGAAAAATCCTCAATAAAATTTTAGCAAGCCAAATTTAGTAGCATATCACATGGATTATACACCATGACCAAGTGGGATTTATTCCTGGAATGCATAGATGTTTCAAGATGCAAAAATCAATCACTGTAATACACATAAACATAAGGAAGAAAAAGAATCCATACCATAATCTCAATTAATGCAGAAAAAGCATTTGACAAAATTTAGCACCTTTTCATTATAAAAACCAACTAGGAATAGATGGAAACTATTTCAACAAAATGAAGGCCATTTATGAAAAGCCCACAACTGTCATACTCAATGGGAAAGACTGAAGGATTTTCCTCTAAGATTAAGCACAAGGCAAGAATTCCCACTCTGCCATTTTTATTCAACATACTATGAGAAATTCTAGCCATAAAATTAGACAAGACAAAGAAATAAAACACATCTAAACTAGAAAGGAAGAAGTAAAATTATTTTTGTTCATAGATAGCACAATCTTACAAGTAGAAAATTAGAAATACTCACTCCTCCCCAAGAATAACAACAGCAACAACAACAAAACCTGTTAGAACTAATAAACAAATTTAGCAACATTGCCAGGTGCAAAATCAACATGAAGAAATCAGTTGCATTTCAGTACATGAATAGTCATCAATCAGTAAAGGAAATTAAAAAACTATTTCATTTGTAAACCTAACCAAGAAGGTAAAAGACTTGAGTAATGAAATCTACAAAATATTATTAAAAGAAATTACAGAAAACCAAATATATAAAGAGATATACCAGGCTCATGGCTTAGAAGGCTTAATGTAGTTAAGATGTCCTTAGTATCCAAAACAATCTACAGAATCAATACAATTTCTATCAATTTCTCAACAACATTTTTTTTGCAAAAATGGAAAAGTTAACCAAAAAATTTATTTGGAATTTTATGGGACACAAATTAGCTAAAACAATAAAAAGAATAACTAAGCTGGAATACTCATATTTCCTGATTTCAAAACATTACAAATCTGCAGTCATCAAAAAGGTATTGTACTG